GTTAGGGGCACCGGAACCCCCCCCCCCCCCCCCATGAGGCTGACAGCAGGAGCAGTCTGGTACGCATGCGCTGGCCTTCCAGCCGTACCCTTTCAACTGCAAAGCATTGCGCAAGCAGCTGCGCCGGCATTCCTCTGTATTCCCCAACCAGCGCACCCTTTACGCCGTCATCCCCTGCAGTACTACCTGACAGCTGCAGAGGCGGAGATCCTGGGGAGCAGATCTGGAGAGATCCTGGAGACCGCTGGACTCCGGCTCGGCGGCGGCCCGGCTGCCGGGGCGCGCATCATCGAGCTCGGCGCGGGGTGCGCAGTGCAGACATGTGTGCGCGCGCGCGTGTGCTGCGTACGGGGGGTGCTGCAATCCTGGGTCGGCGGTGCTGGGCGCGGGAGGGTAAGGGGACTGCGGTGGTGGCAGAGGTGAGAGGCTCTTGATTTTACACGGGCTGCCGCATTTTGCCTCTTGTTGCCTGCTCTCACGTTCAAAAAAGCGACCGGCTAGAGGGGGCCAACAGGGCTGTCCAATTGCGCACTTTGCTGGACACCCCCTGCCCTCCCTCTATCCTTTGCGCCGGCCGGCTACACCATGCACCTGGAGCCCTCTCCTAGCCGCCCCGCCAAAGGCATTTTTATAACAGCCATGCGCCCCACCCCCCTCGAAAAAATGAGTTGCAGCTCAGTGCGCAAGACCCGACTGCTGCTGAGCGCCCTCGTTGCGTGCGACCACGACGGCGGCGCTGGCAACGCCGGCTTGGCCGATGCGTGTTCCGACCCGCCTGGCCTCTGTCGCTGCGCATCACAGCCGGGCAAGGGGACGGCGCCGCTCATGGACGATGCCTGCCGCGCGCTCGGCGCGTCCGGCGCCGCCGGCGCGGCGCGGACCGCCTCCGGGGCGAGCAGCGCGGGCAGCAGCAGTGCGGGGGCCGACGCCACCATCCTCCTCACCAATGAAGCCCTGAGCAACGGCCACTGCTGCTGTAGCGGCGGCAAACCCTTGAACGAATGCAACTACAGCGCAGCAGGGAGCACAGGTTCGGGGCCGTCTTACACAGCCTTGGACCTCTGTGAGGGTCCCCTGAGGGAGTCTCTTGAAGACCTTGCAGGTGCGTGAGTCAAGGATTGATGAGGAATGGTTCTGCTTTGCTGTCCGTTTTGCTTTGTGTCGTTTAGGGACCGACTGCTTCAGGCGCTGATGAGGCAGGCAGCTTCCTTGATCGGACTGTCGAGGCCTGGGTCAGCGCCGGCTTGAAAAGGGGGGGGCCTCGGATGTTTGATGGTCAGCTGGGTGAAGCTCGCCGGCACGAGTTTGCTTGAGTGGAGGAGGGACGGGCACTGCTTGGAGAGGCGTGCAATCGGGTGCGGGGCAGGCCTGCACCGTGGCAGCGTGGTACAGGTTTGGCAAATGCCTTGAGGCCCGGGACCACCAACCAGCCTGCCCGCAACGTGAACGTGACGGGGGATGCCGCCGCTCCCCTCGCCCCGACGGCCCTGAGCCGCGGCCGCCGCCCTCCATTCCTGCACACGCACACATGGCCGGGCGTCCCTCAGGCGCCTTTGGCGGCCGCCTAGGGCTGGAGGGCCTCGTTGGGACGTACGAGGCGGGCCTGGCCCACCTCGGATCGGCCGAACGCCCATGCCTCGGCCACGGCGATGGGTCGAGGCAAGAAGAGAGGGAGCAGGGGGAGCGGCCGGGGAAAGAGGGGGAGGAGGAGGGGGAGGACGGGCCGCGGCTATTCCTGTGGCTTGGGAGCAGCATCGGCAACATGGCGCGCGCCGACGCGGCGGCGTTCCTGCGGCGGCTGCGGGACGAGGCGATGCGGCCGGGTGCGCACGCGTGGGAGTGGGGCCGAGGCTGTCTGCTGCGCCGCGCGGCCGCGCCTGGTGGCCGGTTCTTGCATATGCGTGAAATCACGAGGGCGGGTCGAGACAGCCAAGTGCAGGGACGGCTTCGCTTGAAGTGTTGATCGTTGGATTTTCACCGCTCCCTGCCGCCATGTGGCCAGGTCGTGAGCAAGGGGCCGACTGATCATGCCGTTGCGTCGCATGCACTGTCGGCATTTCACTGTCCCAACGCTGCCCGACAACCCATTGCCTGCAACAAAAACATCTCACCTGGACTGCAGGCGACCGCATCCTCATTGGCATTGACCGCCGCAACCCCCGGGAGCTGGTCAGCGCCGCCTACGACGACAGCAAGGTGGGGCAGCTGCTGACAGTGCGCGACATCACTCGACCTGAACAAAGAGCACGGCGACGCAATCCTTTTGATGCAACCTACTTTTGTGGCGCCAGCTGCTTGATCGTCAGCAGTCAGAAAATTGCTGCAGGACACGACGCGCTCTTGCCCCACCAGATTTTTCAGGCACGTCCCAACAGTCTGGCAGCGGCTATTGTGCTTTGTTGTTGCCATCATCAGCACCAGTGCCTCAGACCCTGTTCCCCCTCCCGAACATGTTGCGCACCTGCAACCGGCCTGCAGGGCATCACGCGCGCCTTCGCCCTGAACGCTCTACACCACGCCTCCCGTCTGCTGGCGGACGCGCGCGCCGCCGCCGACGACTGTGCTGGCGTCGCCGCCGACACGTCGCCCGCAACGCTGGCACCACCTCTCGACCCTGGCGCCTTCGACTACCATCAATGGTGCAACGAGGCCGAGGGCCGCCACGAGGGCTACTTCTTGGCCATGAAAGACACCTGGGTCGGGCTGCCAACGCACACGTACTCCACTGCCGACCCCCGGCCGCCGCACGACCCCAAAGCCACGGCGTGCACGTCCCCGGCGGCGGCGCGAGACAGCTGCCCCTCAACAGGTGCTCAACAAGTCTTCATCAAGGCCGGAGATCTCATCCAATTCGAGCTGAGCCACAAATATTCAGAGGCGGAGGTCCAAGGGCTCGCGTCCGCCGCGGGCTTCGCGCGCGCCGGAAGCTGGGCGGACGAAAGGGCCCTTTATGATCTCCACCTGTTCGCGCCACAATTCGAACAGCCGTCGCCCTCGGCGCCAGCTGGCGGTGCGGCGGGCGCCGCCGGCGCCGAGTTTAGCGCTTCGCCAGCATCAAAGGGGAGGCGGCCGCCGGCGGTGGGGTGGGCGGGGCGCCATGGGCTTGGCGGGGCGGGCGGCTCGGAGGCGCCCAGCTGGCGGGATTGGGTGGGGCTGTGGCGGCTGTGGGATGCGGTCACGCTGGAGGTGAGCGCTTTGCGGCGGGATGGCGGACCCGTTTGATACTGCCAAGGAATGCGGCGGCGGCTCGGCCGGGGCAGTAGTCGTCCCCGCCGCGTCTGGCAGGCGTGGCCGTGTGGACGCGAGGGTATGTGCGCACGCTGGGGCCGAGAACTTCGCTCCAAATTCAGGCAATGCACCAGTTCGCTCATTTACGCCGCACGATGTGAAGGCTTTTCGAAGCCACTTTGGCCCCACTGGGCACGCGCGGTTCACGGTTGACATGGCGGGCGTCGACCCCCCCTCCCCACCTGCGACGCAGCACACACTCACCTCCCCTCTATCTGTCGCAGATGGTTCCGCGCGGCGGCCACCTCCGCCGCCCCATCGCCCTGCGCAACCCCTACCTGTTCTACCTCGGACACACGCCCGCCTTCCTGGACGCGCGCCTCGGACAGATCGGTCTGGGGCTGGTCGATCGCGATCTGTCCGAGGTTTGCGCGAGGGGCATCGATCCAGATCTCCAGGACCCATCGATCTGTGAGTCGCAAAGACGTCCTGCGTGTGTGCGCTTGTGTGCGTCGGGTGCAAGGGTGTGTAAGTGTGCATTGTGTGTGCTGTGTGCTGTGTGCTGTGTGTGTGTGTGTGTGTGTGTGTGTGTGTGTGTGTGTGTGTGTGTGTGTGCGTGTGCACGTGCATGGCCACAAGCTTGTCTCAGCCAAACGATGGGTCTGAGCTGATGCATGCAAAGCGTTTGGGTGCGACCAGCGAGCTATGGACTCATCATCCGCCAGGACGCACTAAACATAGCGCTACCCTTGCCACCGTACCCGTCATAAGGTGCTGCCAACCTCTAAAAGCAGCCCCCCCCTCTGCCCTTCTCTCCCCCATCGCAAAGTCACACTGTGCTCGCGGCATCGACCGCGCGACAAGCAAGCAAGCGCTTCCAGCAAACTTTCCCAGAGCAAGTCCTCTGTCCGCACCAACCCTGAAGTGACACATGCACACGCCGCCCCCCCTCCCCTCCAACCCCAGGCCACCCCCACTCGTCCGAGCCCGCCGCCGGCTGGCCCCCGCTGAATCAGCTGCTGGCCTACCGCGACGCAGTGCGCCAGAAGCTGCAGCAGCTGTACAGCGCCGCCGGTGCCGCGCCCCCACCCATGGCAAACCAGGGGCGCAGGGCTGGTGTCGATGGGCCCGCGGCGGCAGTTGGGGGCGGCGGCGGGCGCGGGGGCGTGGCAGCGACGGCGGGGGTGGGGGCGCTGTCCGCGGCGCTGCAGGAGGTCGCCTGGATGGCGTTCGAGCACGAGGTCATGTGAGCGGCTGGGGTGTTCCATTTTTGGGGGGGGGGGCAATAAACTGCATGATGCAGCGCCGGCGTCGTTAGGTTCAAAGGGGGGGGATGCAGTTGCAGGTGTTTTGGTCCGTAAAGCCTGCAGAGGGATGACAACGCATCATGTCGGGGTTTGTGGCAACACAATCCGTAGATTATGCCATACATTACTCTTGATGCTGGCCAGGACCTGGATCTGAGCAAAGACCACCAGCTGTCAATCTGCCAATGTGTCAATATGTAATCTGCGCGTCAGCGAAGATGAGCGCGGCGCCTCCCTGACCACATCGCCCCCTCGCTCTCTTCGGCCCCCCTCTGCTGCCCACCGGACGGCACCCACACCCCTTCGTCTCAATCCACCCCCTACAGGCATCTGGAAACGTTCATCTACATGCTCCTGCAGGATGACTCAGCCCTGCCGCCCCCAGATCGCATCCTGCTGCCCCCATCACCGCCAAAACTCACGCCTCCTCACCTGCCGCTGGCCGGCGGCGGGCCGCCGCCGCCGGCCGCTCCCAAGCAGCCGCCGCGGCCGAGGACCCTTTTGCCGCGAGGCACTGACACGTGCAGCAGCGGGTGGACAGAAGGAGCTGCGCAAGGGGACGGCCGGTTCCGCTGCCCGCCCGCGCCCGCGCCGGCGCGTTTGGTGCCAGTGGCGGCCGGCCGCGCGCGCCAGGGG